TTCATCACCTGTTATGATAATTGACAAGAAGTGTTTGTGTGAAAGTTATTACAAAAAAATATAATCTGCACATTCATTTTTTTATATTCTTTCCGCTTATGTTACTTATACGAGCTGTGTTCAGAAAATGTCGGGAATTTTCGTTTTTTGAAACAAATATTTATTTATTCGTCTACATTAATGTTGTCGCCTTCAAAATAGTCCCCTCCCAATTGGATATTATGCACATGTGCCAGCTCTTCTTCCAATACTCGAAACACTTCTAAAACTCGATCATTGGGATAGCCTTTAGTTCTTTCAGCGATGCGCTTTTAATGTCATCTATGCTTGCAAAACGACGGCCCTTTAAGGTTCTCTTTTATTTTGGGAATCGGAAAAAGTCAAACAGAGGCATGTCTGGCGAATATGGAGGCTGGGGCATCATTACAGTATTGTTTTTGGCCAAAAATTTTGTTCAAAATTTAACAATTTTAGAACAAATTTTGCTGCCACGCGTTTCATACCCAAAACATTTGAAAAAATTTCATGGGATGAGCCAATCGATATACCAACATCATCAGCGACTTCTCTGATGGTTTATAACCAGTTCTTCCACTTTTTCCATGTTTTTATCGGTTGTTAATGAGCTTGTGCGTTCGGGGCGTTCGTCATCTTCAACGTCTTCACGGCCATCTTTGAAACTCTTACACCACTTGTAGACTCTTGTTTTACTTATAGCAGACTCACTATAGGCCTTTGTTAATATTTCACAGAATTTATTTCATTTTTTAAGCAAAATTGGATACAAATTCTTTGCTTCATTTCTTTTAACGAACGAAAAATCGCCGAGCTCATAAAACACGTCTAACGTTAGCGGCTGCCACAGACAAAGTAAACAATGAAAACAGCTAAAGTTTTTATCATACTTCGGGGGCATGTATACCAACATAATAAAGAAAATTTTATGACAACCGGACCCTCCCAACCCGCGAAATTTAACAATTCCCGTTATTTTCTGAACACACCTCGTAAAATCTTCTCTTTGCTTTTAGACACAAATAAACATAAATGTAGACCACAAACTACTTTGTTCCTAACACGTTCAGAATATATCACACTTCAACATAGGTGACTCATTTCCGTAGATACCAATTAGTAGTTCATATTAATTTTTATAGTATTAGAGACACTAATTTATACGCACCTACAATAAAATGGTTGGAACAAAGAACTCTCTAAAAATGAATTAGTCAAAAATTACTAATTTATTAGTTATTAGTGGCTGCTTTTTCACTTGTACCATGATTAACCATGGCATCCCAAAATTTAACAGCCAATTCGAAAATGTCGTCAAAAGTTAAAAAAGTAGAACAGTTTTTGAGATATAGTCAATTTTCCATTTAATATGGAATTGACTATATCTCAAAAACTGCTCCACTTTCATAATTTTTTATGGTATTTTCGGATTCAGGGGACAATTTTACCTAAAAATTGGGATACCATGGTACAAGTAAAAAAGCAGCCACTAATAACTCATTTTTGACTAATTCATTTTTAGAGAAAAGAATAAATTATTTGATTTAGCAGATATTGTTTTTTAGAGAAATTATTTTGAATTTGTTAAAATTAAATAACATTAATTATTTTAGACTACACAAATATTGTTACTTGCAAAACAATGCTGAGTTAAAAACAAACATTTCGAATTTATCAAAAATTATCGCGTTTGTTGTTAAATAACTCAAATTATAAAATCACGTTTTATACACATTGAATGTTATTTATTATTTAAATTTATCAACAAAATAATTATAAAGTTGATAATTTTACAATAAATGTACTACATACATGACTGAATAAAGCATAGTAACAAAATTATCTCACAAATTTATTTATGACCTAAAAATTTAAATAATAATTAAATGGAATACCAACAATATAAATTTCGTTTTATACGCAAATTTATCAATGTGCATGCAACAAACTTTTTTTGTCGCAAAAGAACTTTATTTAAATTAAAAGGTATTCCAGGTACATAAAAAGTAATTTAAATGTTATGTATTTTTATAAGATTTGCGTTCATTGTTCTGTCTCTATTTTTAGAACCCTGGCGAGATATATTTATATTATAAGTTCAACGGAATTTTCTGTATGGTAGATAAGTTATTTTTAATGACATTAAGATTATCAATAGAAGACCGACTTGTAACAATAATACATCTGTAATTTATTGATTTCCTAGGATTTTTTTTATTTGAGTGCGCGATTAATTCGAACGAGAAATCGTAAACAAATTAAAGCATTTGATGTAGAAACTAAAAAGTTGCGGGGTTATAAATCAAAGATTGCTTTGGTAAATATGTTCATTGTAGACATGCATAATTATGGTGGATTATTTTTAGCTTTACAATTTGGGTCATACCTATAGTTTTTTTGGTTCAAATTTTGAGTTTCATTTAGCATATAGCAAAAACAACTTAAAATGATATATAATTACACAGGAACAAAAATTGACACAATTGATTCTAGTCGACCAAATATTTTACATATTATTTTATTCTTATCTCGCTTATCCTTTGCGTTAGATAATGTTAATTTTCAAGTATGTTCTTGGACAAATAGTAAAGTACATAAAACGAAATACAAGTAATGTGTGTAAATTCTTGGAAGGGTTATCTGCAATTATAGTCGGTCAGTCAAAAGATATCATATCAACTAACACAGCTGCTGTGGCTTGCTAAAACAATATTTACTGTAAAAGATCGAAGGGGTTACGCAACTCGAGAAAACAATTTAATACAACAATGTAGTGGCGGCAGTGTAAAAGAGGTGCAGATACACCACCTATTCTGATAATAAAAAAATGTTAAATTTTTAATTTTGCTATTTTATTTAGGTATAATTTTTATCCATCAGATATTATTATTATTTGTTTTACAAGTGTTGAAAAGCGACTTTTTCATGCAAGTGTTTAAGTTGCTCACAAGGCCGTTAGGCCGAGTGTGCATTAACACGAGCTTGAAGAAAGCTTTTCTCACATATGAAACACAATATTTTTTCTACGAGCCATTTATTTTTTATTATTTTCAAATACAAAACAAAATATCCTAAAAACGTGTTTGACAGCTGTTAAAATTTCTTTCATCTTATTCTTTTAATTTTTAACGTATAAGTTACATACTTAAAATCAATAAACTTACCTTCTCAATTTAAATAAAGGCACTAAAAATTAGAATTTAGTATACAAACACAATTAACTGTGTTCTAAATGATATTTAGACAAACATATACAAATACAATACAAATTTTGAAACGAATGTCAAACGATGCTGTCAATTTCTTTTCGCACAGACCTGTCACTTTTTACATAGAAATGTCACTTTTCATTTGTGTTTTGCCTTGCCAATGAAAAGATTCATTTTCTAAGCAACAATGCCCTTACAAAATGTGACTTTTACATAGTGGTCGTAGAAAAAGTAATTTTCATTTATTTTAAGAGATTATTTTCTTCAGTGTACGTTCCTGATTTTACTACTAATATTATTTATTTCACAAGCTTGTAGTTATCAAGTATTTTTACAAATAATTTAAGGTTAATTACTGTTATTAACTATTTAATTGCCCTTATGATATTATACACGTTAACGAGGTGCCTTAATTAGTTATTTATAATTATTATCATAAATGCATTAGTATAAACTATTACAGAGATTGCCAAAATGATTAAATAATGGTTAATTATGAAAATAGTGGAAAATATTTTAACTGTCGCGCCATCTATCAGCGAGAAGCTGTGTTACCAAGCTATGTGTAAAGAAATTTAAAAATATGTACATAAGTTATGTTAAAGAAATCTAATAGCAAAATAAAGTTTATTCTCAAACTTCCTTCGAGCATTTTAAAACGCTTGTCGTAGAATACCTTGGCCTTCTTGAACTATTCGTTGTAAAAAATTTTAATGACCCTATAAAAAAAGTCCAATAGTGTCAGATCTGGAGATTTGGAAGGCCATTCTGTTGGTCCTCTTCTACCGATTCACTGTTCTGGATAATTCTGATCCTGAAACTATAAATTTTCATTCAGAGCTAGTTCCTCATCCTTTTCTCTTTGATTTTCTAGTTTAAGGATTATTTATTAATGCATCCAAAATTTCAAAATACGTTTTGGTCAATAAATAAGGGACCCATTCCCCGAAATTCCTGGTCAGACTAGGGTTTTAAAGTGTCGAAAAAAAAACCGGAAAAATTGGGGAAAAACAGTTTTTTCCGTTTTTTTTCACAGGCCTTAGAAAAATGTTCTTTTTTGAGAAAAATTGTTTTTTTTTTGGAATATACACATTTAACTTAACTTAACATTATTTTAATTTTAACTAAACATTAAATTAAATTAAATTGATTTATAGAAATTAAACGTATACCTTAATTAAAAATATCAAATTACAAAATAATAAATAATATATAAAATTAAATTACCAAATTATAATTTTATAAATCGAAATGTCAAATAAAACTAAAGTTATGTTAATACATCACCAAATATGTTTTTTTTTGCGACCCGGTAGAATATTCTTACAAAATTAAAATAAAAGGAATAATTATTATAATCATATTATGATTAAAATCAGTGTACGGATATTATCCGTAAAAATTGATTTGAATTGAATTTTATGAATAAAATGAAAAATGCAAATATCAATTTTTCTGAAAATTTCCAATTTTCCGTTTTTTGCTGTCGGCTCAATTTTTCAGACATCAAGTTTTTCAGGATACTGGGTATGATTTTTTCGGATAAAATGAGTATTTTTACTGCTACAATATCGACAATTTCTATTTAGATTAAACGTAAAAATAGTATTTTTAAAATTAATCCCGACGCATTCGCCATTATTGCAATTTTTGGTGTTAAAAATAAAACAACTTTTTGTTAAAAATTACATAGGATATATTTTAAATAGTTGACAATTCCTTTAACAAAAATAAGTAGAAAATTATTATAATTACAAAAAAATTGGTCTAGAAGATTACAATTTGACTACAAAATAACTGAGTTAGATTAGCAGAAATTTGGACTAAATTTTCGAAAAATATTTTGCTAATGTAACTATCCAACAACAATTCTCCATCTTGAATTTTAACAACATATATTTATATATAACATTTATATTATATTAGGCGCAGCCCATTTCATCTAGCGTATATTTAAATAAATTTAACATTTAAAAATTACACCGAAATGTTCAACATTTACTCGATGTAAGTTTAAAGTGTTTAATAAAATCACAGAAATGTATATAAAAAAATCATAAAGTTTAGTATTCCAAAAGTTTTGAAATCAAAACAAAAAAAGCTGTGAAATCAGTCATACAACATTCATCAGCTAATTTTTTTTCACATAAGGTAACATAAAAGTAAGTATTATGCCTTAGGCTTATATATATTACTACTCTAACATTTGGTTTAAATAATATTATTATAAATGGTAGGTATACCGTATTTTTTTTTCTTAAAATACGATATAAAGGTAACAATTGATTATATTGGTCTTATTTTTTGCATTTTATATATAGGTACATAAATATGGCAATGGCGTTTAATAGTTTAAAGTCCCTGTAATTTTTTTGACTTAAAACCTTCTAATAAAACTAGATTGATAAAAATATAAAAAAAGTTAAAAAATACAGAGAACCTTGTTTAAAAAACTAAATCACAATAATTAGCACTGGAAGTGTGAAAATTTCAAAAAAAAATCCAACACTAATTTTAAAGCAAATATAGGTAAATGAACAAAAACAACAAGTGTTAAATAAAATAGATCTTGATGAACTAAATTAATCAAAGACAGCTGTGAAACAGGAGAGCAAGTTAATGATGACTTTATCCTTGGTAGATTTTTTAGAGCAGGTGGAGCTAGGACTAGACTCCCTGGAGTAAGACCTAGAGCTAAGTTTATGAGGCCTTTCATTGGTGTACAGTCTAGGTTGAGATCCTTTATGAGGAAGGGGTTGAGGGTTTTTTCCTGCGCCCCTATTGAGGATGTACTGCTCGATGCAGAGGCGCTCCTCCAGATTTAGACTTGGATTGCTTTTTGGTTCTCTGGAGAAGTCCACCATCGACATACAACCATACCTGAAAGTGTTGGTGTGTGATAAAAGTCTACTGTAGCAAAAATAAATTAGGTACCTTGGTGCACGGATGAGGTTGTCCCAAGTACAACAGCTTCCAGCGTTCTTGTTCTTCTTCTCCTTTTCCACTCGCCTCTTGATGGCGTCGTAAACCAAAATCTCATTGGACAACCTCAACGTATCACGAGTCAAAATGGTTTTTAAATCCACAAAACACACATCGAGAAACTCCTTTTTCTTCAGAATGTATTCGGCGTGCTTATCTATCTCCAACAGGATGTTTTCCCTTAGTTTTTCAGTCAGTTCTTGCACCTAAAAAATTAGGAAAAATAACTAGTATTTGTATTAGACTGGGCCAAAAAAATCAACAATTTTTTTTTTTGAAAAGTATATCGAAAATATGGTTTGGGATAACAAAAAAAAAATTATTGTGAAAGTTTGAGTTCATAATATCTATCTATGAAAAAGGTTAAAGTGAAGTTTTCCGTCAGTTAAACCGTTTCCTTAAAATCATGCCTTAAAAATTGGTATAGTTTTACATTTTGATCTTTTAAATTGGAATTTTGTAATTCATGTAAAAATCAGTACCCATAAAAACCGATAAATATTCTTATGGAAAATCAAATGCTTTACAAAAAAAGCCTCTCATTTTTGGCTAAATTCACTCAATCAAAAGTTATTCAAGGTTAAAATTTCGTTTTGACTACGAATTTAACCTTGAATAACTTTTGATGGAGTGAATTTAGCCAAAAATGATCAAAGACTTTTTTGTAGAGCATTTGACTTTCCATAAGAATATTTATCATTTTTTTCAGGGTCCTGATTTTTACATGAACTACAAAATTCCAAAGTTAAAAGATCAAATTTTAAAACTATACCAATTTTTAAGGCATGATTGTAAGAAAACGGTTCATCTGACGGGAAATTCCAATCAAACCTTTTTTGTAGAGCATTCAATTTTCTTCAAAAAATATTTATAAGTCAATTTTGATAAACTCAATGATTTGGGAGTTCTGAGACAAAAACTCGCTCAGGAAAAAATCTAAAATTGCGATGATAGACCCCTTAATATTAATATTATGGACTTAAAATTTGACCATAATTTTTTTTTGTCACCCCAAACAATATTTTCGATAAACTTTACAAAAAAAAGACGATTTTTTTGGCCCAGTCTAATTTGTATATTTTGTAAATCTAACACTTTTGAGCAACCCCTTTCGATTTGGCTGAAACTTTTTTAACTTCTTCAAAAACATTTTTTAGAATTTTTTCAAATATCTGGAACTTTTTTAAAAATTGTCATTTTTTTCAAAATGTTTGTTTTTAAATTTACCTTTCAGAAAAAAAATTTTATTCAAACCGATCTTCAACTTTTTTTTTAATTTACAAAAAAAACGAAAAAATCTCGATGTTTGTCATTTTAATTTTTTTCAGAAACTTCGATATATTCTGCAAATTCTCTGAAATTTTTAGTAACGTTTTTTGTTTTACATTTTTTTAATTGAAAAAAAAACTAAATTAAATTAAGCTTATTTTTCATAATACCACTTTTTTGATTTTTGAGGATAGTTCTGAATAAATTTTTATATATTTTTTGAAAACCTAATTTAAAACAAAGAAAATGAAAAATAATTTTATATACAATAGCTATAATTACAATAAATAAAATTAAAGAAAAGATAAAATGAATTCCATAACAAATTAACCACTTAACATTTTTTTATCCACTCCACTGCATTGACGAGCTGCATTAGTGGCTTTGGGCATTTTAGTCACGGGCTGAAGTTAGCTTTATTATAAATTGCGAAAAAGTAAGGTTAAATTAGTCAGATGTCAAATATTTATGAATTAAAATTGGCTTTAAATTCTTATTTCTGTTTGTCGTGGATAAAGTATTTATAGTATGCAACTCGTTTTATAAACTTCTCTAGACACTCGTTTCTAATAAAACTCGTAACTAAAATCGCGTTTATAAAACTTATATATGTACATAATATACTATTAAAAGCTTGTTGTTTGTCCAATAATGAACATGTGGCATTAAAAAAATATATAAAAATTATTCAGAACTATCTTCTAATTTTTTTCTTGCTTTTTCGAAAAAAACTAGAATTTCATTTAATATTATTTTTTAACTTTCCTTAAAAATCTCAGGAGTGGTATTATGAGAAATAAGCTGCATAAAAAAAATTTAATTCATAAAAAATAGAAAACGAAAAATCGACTAAAAAGAGAATTTGATGAAAATGTAAAAGTTTCTTTCTTTTTTCTCATATAAAAACAAAAATTTAAAAAAAAAAACGTTTAAATTAGTAAATTTTTGAAAAGTTATGATATTTTAAAAATAAAGAGCCATTTTTTACAATATAATTTTTTTTTCTGCTGGGTGAAAAAATTTAAAAAAACTCTAAAAAATGTTTTTGAAAGGTTTAGAAAAGTGGTTGATTTAGTAGGTAAATATTTTTGCCAATACAATCGTTGAACACTCTGTAAGGTATAACTAAAATGGGTCTAAAAGTTTCTATAATTCATACCTTTGAATTTTTTAGGGTTTTATTTTATAACCTAATAAATATTTTATAATACGGATTATACTAATAAAAATATTATACTTTATAATAACTATAAATTACTATATTGCTATACATAATGTAATTTAATCGACTGATAAGGCTATTGTTTTTATTTATTTCTACACAATTAAATTAAAATATAAAAAATACATAATGTAGTATTTCCTGATATTAATTAAATCCGATTTAATCTGGAAAATAGCTGATAATAATAATTTATCAATATTTTTGTAATTAAAAAAAATCCGTTCTTACCCAATTATGGCTAGCACAACCGTTCATTGGAGGTGCAGAGGGAGAATGGCAGTTACTTAAGTCTTTTGGTGGCATTATTTCAGATAAACATTTCAGCACAGGTATGAGGTTTTCCTTGTTTCCCAGCAACAAATCGAAAAATTCTATGCATTTTCGACCCAAAACTGGATCATTGGCTTCTACGGCTTTTTTTAGACCATTTGAAGCTGATTCCAGGTCTCTGAAAGCAATGCTGGAAAAAGAGAAAAAGGGATAAATTTGATATGAATTTCCTATTTAAACTTTTAAATGGGATTATAGATAGCCCCAGTGATGTAATGTATCGAGATACATGTATCTAGATACTGGATCTAGATACATTTTATGTACCTAGATACGTATCGAGATACTTAAGAAAATCAGGATCTACTTTAGTATCTAGATCCTTTTGAAAGTATCTAGATCCTTAGATACAAGATAGGTACATTTTATTTTACCCAACCTGATTGCAACTCCACACCGTGTGGGCCACACGGAAAATGAATATCCAATGGATATACTCTATGGATATCCAGGATATATACCTACATTGGATATTTTTAATATCTCCCGTAAGAGATGAACAATAAGAAAACCGTAGTGCTGTGTATAGACTCCCGCACCCTAATCTATAAACTGAACTACTGTTTTCGTATTGTTCATCTTTTACGGGAGAAAGGAAAGAAGGAAGGAAGGCAATGTATAAATCCGGCTTAACGCTTTTTCCCACCCTCTATGGATTTACAGGAAAAAGCATCTGGCAACACTGTACCGAACCCAGAGACCTAACGATAATTTCGAATTTGTACTACAAATTTTGTAGTAGGTAAGCTTTCATATGGCGCGTAAATATAAAATTTATTTCCGTTTTTCATGGATATTTCGTCAATTTTATAAAAACAGTTTTATTTTATAGTTAACACGCTTGTTTATAAGGTCCAAAATTTTTTTTTTGTCATTTAATTTTTAAGTTTTTTTAACATAGTATCTGGAAGTAACTTAGATACTTTTTGAATGTATCTGTATCTGTACCCAGATACTTTTGGGAAAATGTATCGGTATCTGTACCCAGATACATCTACCAGAGAGTATCTGTATCGGTACCTAGATACTGAAAAAAATGTATCGGTTACATCACTGGATAGCCCTGAATTGCTTGGCAGAATTAATTTTCAAGTGCCTCAGTTAAGACTAAGAAATAAAAATCTTTTTTATATATGTCACCATAATACAAACTATGGTTATTATGCACCATTACATATATGTGCAGAAATGCAAATTCTTTAAATGTAGATTTCTTTGGCAATACTCTCCAGTCCTTCAAAAGGTCTTTAATGTTAAATTGTAATGATTACTTTTGTTTATATCTAATGGTTAATCCGTCAATAAAGATATTTATTTATTTATTTATTTAAGATAAGATTATTTTTCCAAAATTTCTTGCAATATTAGATATACAGGGTTTTCAATTAAAAACTAATAGTAACATGGATAACTTGACAGAATAAATTTTTATTATTGTGCATTTTTCTACTTAAATTTTTTTAATAAAATTTAGTAAAGGGTCGTTTTGAGGGGTGGTGAATCCAGTGCTGTGCTTAGATTTTGTTTAAAAAAATAATAATATTAATTCCTAAAACTTTACTCTTAAAAACTGACAAAGTAGGTCTTGTATTTTGTACAATTATGGCTCCAAAAATACAGTTTATCAAGATCTACACTTTAAAACAAATCCGGTTAAAATCGCACAATAAATAAAGATTTTACAGGGGTGGGTCGCAAAAAAATGGGCCACACTATGTGTATATATATATATAAATTATACCTTTGACATGCATTTTCCGAGCTTCTTCTTGTAGTTTTTTCTGAAGTATTACTTTCCTCGTCTTGAGGATAGTGTGTTACTTGAACCATATTATATTATCTGAAATAAAAAAATATTATTAACATGGTAAATTTTAAATTAACAAATATAAATTTTTTAGGTATACTTGGTGAAGGTATTGCAGCTTTTGCATCTCGTCTGGGGATTGTCGTATACAATTAGATACCTTTTTAATTGGTAATTACATACTTGAGATTATTCTCTATCGTTTAGGTGTGTATTTGTAAAGGATATAGACCTGTACTATCCCCATTACAATAAATATTATCTGATAATATTTAAAACAAAATAATTATTGTTTACTAAATTCTATAAATATAAATATGAATAAAATAATGATATTTTCTGATAAATATTCAATTTTCAATTTAATTTCGTCCCTGAATAAAAAGAATAGTAACCTATGCAATACAGAAAGTATTAAACATATAAGTTAAAATAAATGTTATTTATGAACATTTTGAAAATGGATTTTTTTATATATATAAATTGATGTAAGAGTGATAAAAGTAAAAGTAGTATTTTTATCTATTTTATAATTAGGTACCCACTTACCCTGATTTGTAATTAAATCATAAGTATGTAAACAACCATTTATTTTTGCAAAATTAAATTTAGGTTAAGTACCTATAGGTTTATAATGTACTAAAAATTTTTTTATTAACCTATCTATAGGTAATCTTTACTACTTTTAATGCAACTTGCCCGATAACCCACAATGTTTAACTTATATTATTACAAAAACGTACTAGGCATATTTGCAAATTAAAGTAAATATATTCTCTAGGAACATCATTGTTATCAATATGAAAATAATAAAGCAATAAAGGTAATTAAATTTTTTAACAACCTTCACGACCCGCAAATATAATTAACTTTATTTAAGTTAGTTAATCTAAAGAAGTCATAGGTTAATTGAAATAGTACAATATTTTAGCTTCGTTAATAATGTTTTGTTTGTAAACGAGCAATTTCCTCCTACATTAACAAAAATAATCATTACAAATCTTTAATAAATGCAATTAAAATAATTTTACTCACAATTTCGAAATATTTTACAAGAACGATCTTGGTTTAACACTAATGGTTTAATAAATGTATTAAAATTTATTATCTTGGAGGAAGTTGCTTCAATTAATACTTCATCCACCATTTCATTTTAGTACTAAGTGGTATAACAAACAAGGTGAAATCTATACTGCGTGAAAAAAATACCAACTATAGTTAACTGTTAAGAAACTATTTAATACTTTTGTATTTTTGGATTGAGATAATAAAATGATTTTCACTTTTAGTATTATTTTACAAGAATGGCACTTTATTTTAACGATTGTATGTTATTTGACAACTGTCTTAAACTAACTTCAGCCCGTGACTAAAAACCTGTTGCTAACTTCAGCCCGTGACTAAAGTACCATAAAGCCACAGCTTGTCAATGTGTAGAGTAGAAAAGGTATTTTTCCACTCACACCTTTAAAACGCCCTTTATCGTACATGTTTCCATGACATTAAGTGACCTTTTAAATACACATTGACAAGTTGTGGCTTTACGGCGCTTTAGTCACGGGCTGAAGTTAGCAACAGGTTTTTAGTCACGGGCTGAAGTTAGTTTTAAGTTAGTTGACAGTTGTCAAATGTCATACAATCGTTAAAATAAAGTGCCTTTCTTGTAAAATAATACTAAATGTGAAAATTATTTTATTATCTCAATACAAAAATACAAAAATATTAAATAGTTTCTCAACGCCAATATTTGAAAAGTTTATATGCACATTGTACTGACCTTTTAATTTCGCCGGCAGTAAACTATAACTTAAATTCGGGCACGGACTCTACTGTAAAGTCCTCATAAAACATTTCCTTTACTTTCACTGTGAAAAAGATACATTTCAAATTATAACCTTTATAATTGTGTTTATAAAATGTAAAAATGTGACATTTGACAGTTTCCCCTGTTGTTTCATGGATGGCGCTCTATACAAATTTTTGATTTAAATCATTTTAAGATAATAATAAGTATTTGTCGTAGAAAAAGTATAGTATGCACCTCGTTTATAAACTTTTCTATACACTCATTAACTTAAGCACTCGCTCTTAAGCTCGCTCGTGCCTAAATTAAATTCGTGTATAAAATGGCGTTTATCAAACTTGATACATAATATACTATTTTGTTCTCTTCACTTTTTTTTGCTTTGGGCTGGGGTTGACTTTTTCTTACAGTATATAATAAATCAATACCATGGTGTAATGAAAAAATTTCCATTTTTAATTAACATTTCGTTTTTAATCATATGCACGCGACCGAACGTATTTCATTTGCGAATAAAGTAACTAACACTGCTTATTTAATAAGTAAAATAAATATTTGTTGCCTTATTGTATTCAGTAAAGTACTTTTTAATTAAGAGTGTTTGCCATGTGCTAATTAACATGAATATTTATGATTTTCGAAATTAAAAACTAGGTGTATGAATCATTAAGGAAAAATGCAAAAAGGTCTGTTTTGTGTATACACATTTGATATATTTAAAAAATAAAAACTACAATGACCTTAAAAAATAGAACTTCTCGCCAAATTGAACCCATAGGAAAACGGCATGTCCGACTGCGGGCATATGCAAGAGGAATATTGCTCGCACCCTGCAGCGCACAATTTGGCCCCCATCACTGCTCCCATGTAGAACAAAACCAGCGTCAAAAAAATGCTCAAAGGCAGTCCGTATAGGACTCCTTTGTGGTGGCCGTACCTGGCCCATAAGGTGTTCTTTCTCTTCAGCTCCGACTGGTAGATTATCATTCGGGCGTTCAGAAGTTGCATTTGCTTTTTGACAGTTTTCACCACCGGGCATTTTATGTGGAGCACGTGGTGGATCATCGGGGCCTCATCGTACGGAAGCAAATCTTCTCCGCATTTGCAGTGCATTTTTTGAGGGTTTTTAGGATTTTGGCATTTTAATAACAAATTGACAGGAGTTGAATCACTTTTGGAGATTGTAGGTTTTTTTAAACAGCTATATTAAGGTTGGTGTTTTACATCGAAAAGTGATTTATTACTAAAGTTTGTGTCGTCGGTAGTTGTCAAATTTGATAATAGTTGTCAATTGCAACATTAAAAATGCCACCCCACTTAACTGAGGCTCAGAGGTCTAGGGCAATAGCCAAATTAAAGAAAAATTACTCTTTAAGTAAAGTGGCAGCTGCATATTTTATATCAAGAAACTTTGGCAAGAACAACAAAGAGTGAAAAGGTGGCAAGGTGTAGGTAAAATCTCCAACAAACATGAAGACAATGCTCTTATAATAATAATAATAACATCAATTCTAAGACATTTACAAAAAGATATAAAGACATTTACAAAAATGTATCAAAAAATGCCCCCTAACGGAGCTACGCCCCCTGAATAGGAGCCTAAGAGAATAGTTTTTTTAAAACTATTCCTAGAGCGTTAAACATGAAGAAATGAAATTTTGGCACTTTGGTAATTTTTAGATCCTGAATCAAGATCTAAGATCAAAACTGTTAAAATTTAATCATAGGCGTAACATTTGGGGGGGGAAAGTTATAAAAATAACCCCAACCTTTTTCCGAGATAATATTTTAATTTTTTTTATAAAATTATGAAAATTTTTTTACGAAAAATAGGTAGTCTTGATTTGAATCGCGCAGATGCACCATTTTCGAGAAAAATGCATTTATAAATTACTCTGCATAGCATACACCTCTCATATTTTCGTTAAAATTTTGTGTTAAAATTTGGAAAATCGCTCCATAATAAAAAATAACAAAAATCGAGCCAAAAAATATTAACTAAACTATAAAAATAAATGTAAAGTCAGCAAATAACTCAAACGTCATTTTTGTCCCAAAGCTTTTTAATGAAAATATTAGAAATTATGCTAAGCATAGTAATTTAAATTGCAATTTTCTCGAAAATGGTGCATCTGAGCACTGAAAGAAATATATGTTTGTTTTAGCAATGTATGTGGTAGTCTATATATGAAACATAAAATATATTTACCTTAACCATTTTTATATTTAGTTTTAACATATTATGTTAAAACTAAATATAATATATGTTTGTTTTAGCAATGTATGTGGTAGTCCATATATGAACCACATACATTTGCTAAAACAAACATATATTTCTTTCAGTGAGCGATTCAAAGCAAGAGTACCTATTTTTCGTGAAAAACTATACATTTTCATAATTTTATAACAAAAAATTAAAATACTCACTCTGCAAAAAGTTGGGGCTGTTTTTGTAAATTTGCCCTCTCAAATGTTACGCCTATGATTAAATTTTAACAGTTTTGATTATAGATCCAGATTCAGAATGTCAAAATTACCAAAATCAGGTCTTCATGTTCAACCCTCTAGGAATAGTTTTAAAAAAATGATGCTCTTAAGCTCCTATTTAGGGGGGCGTAGCTCCGTTAGGGGGCATTTTTTGATATATGTTTATTAAACAAAAAAGTGTTATTTTTCTATGAAGAATGCACTGTTTAAGTTTGGCCCCCTAATTTCGGGACACCCTGTATATTATTTATTTAAAAATTTTAGAAATTCATCTATACTATAAAAATTATTTTCCTTAAGCATTGTCAAGATCTTTTTTTTAAATTGAGTATAACTGTTTATTTGTTTGACTTCTTCTGGTAATGCATTGAAGAACTTTTGACCCTGGTAGCCTGGTGAATTCTTAAATATGTCAACTCTGGGCCGCGGCAGATAAAAGTTGTATTTTTGCCTGGTGTTATGGCTATGAATTTTATTGTTGATGTTGTATGTATTTCTTAAACCATAAACAAATTTAAGAATTTCAAGAATGTTTATGGAGGGAAGAGGTAAAATGCCCAATGTTTTAAAAACGTTCCTGTTCCTCTTGTCGCACATATTAGAAAAACCTTTCAATAGCGCAGTTAAGGCCCGAGAAGTTACACAATTTCCAGGATCTCTTCGAACAGCTCAAAAAATATTGAAACAAGCTGGATTAAAAAACTGTGCTGATGCTCATAAGGTTTTTTTAACTGACGAAAAT